CACCCTGCTGCTTCTGGCTGCTTTTCTAACCTGACAAATCACTCCAATTCCCCATGCAGCATTATCCACTCTCTCTTCCCACACTTGCACTGTAGGGGAGATTATAAATAAATCCTATATTCATAGGACAGCGCCATGCCCAGGCCTGTGTATTTTCTGGGACTAATTGCTCAGGGAAAGCCAATGCTCTGGTGCAAGTCTCATTCCAGTCTACATGGTAATTATATGCTAATGCCTTTTGAAATTAATTCAGAGCCCCCACACCAGCATCATGGTAAAGGGTAAAGAAGCTGAGATTTAATCACATTGTCTTCTGGGGGCTTAATGTAAGATTTCTTTTATACATGAACTGGGCCATCGATCGACAGAACTTGCTGGCTGCTCCTGCACTGTAACAATGCAGTCCCATAGCAAGAAAACTGCTGGTGAATGGCATGCCAGAAATCAGTCGCAGACCGGCTCCGGTAAAGAAGCAGAGCTTCTGACTTCAAAGAAGGCACAATGCACGTTCGACCAAGCTCTTTTCTCCTTCCTATAAATCAGCCTCATCTTGGGGCCTAAAATAAGTCAGATCAACTATAAATAAAAGGAAGCTTGGAGCAAAGTAGTAACACAACAATAGCAACAAAGCAGTCATGAGAAAGAACGGGAATAAATGGTGGAGTTGCAAAAACAATCAAGACACAGATGACTTTACCTCATTAGGGAGAGAAGTCACAAAAAGAAATGGAGTGTGGGTGGGTAAGCAAATATACAAGATTTGCACTAGCCCAGAGACCTAGTAAGTGTAATCTAAAAGCCCACTCTGAATGCCTGCCACACAATGCAGTGCCCTTCTACCATCTATAGCTCTGCAATATCCAAAGAACAGCTATTTTAATATTGGCTTTCGGCTTTTCTGGTATTTATCGTTAAATCATTTTCCTACTCTTGGTTCAAAAGCACATTGGATTTAGGGCACCTGGGTGGCTCAGTCGGTGAACTGTCCGAGTTTGGCACAGGTCATGATCTCACGGTTTGTGGGTTTGAACCCCGCATCAGGCTCTGTGCTGACAGCTCAGAGCCTGGAGCCTGCTTCGGATTCTTTGTACCCCTCTCTCTCTGCCCCTACCTTGCTCGTGCTCTGTCTCTCAAAAATAAATAAATAACAGGTGCCTGGGTGGCTCAGTCGGTTGAGTGTCCGACTTCAGCTCAGGCCATGATCTCATGGTCTGTGGGTTCGAGCCCTGCATCGGGCTCTGTGCTCACAGCTCGGAGCCTGGAGCCTGCTTCGGATTCTGCGTGTCCTCTCTCTGCCCCTCCCCTGCTTGCATTCTGTCTCTCTCTGTCTCTCTCTCTCTCAAAAATAAATAAACATTAAAAAAAATTTTTTTAAATACATAAATAAATAAATAAATAAACCATTAAAAAAAAGCACATTGGATTTGATATCATGCACTATACAAATTCCTCACATATCATAGAGAAATAATCAAAATTTTTCTCAGCTATAAAAAGAAACCAGGGAAATGTTTCCCACACAAATTTTTTTCCCATCATCCCTGACCTACAGCCAAAAGTCACATGAGAAGATGGGTTATAAATGCTTAAGAAACCGGTCTGTGCATGTTTCCATTCTCTTAGTTTTTTAAGATGCTACATGGAGCTATTGAGGAAAATAATGGCTTCCCTTTGGGACATACTTTCAGAGGCAAATGTATTAACATAAACAAACTAAAAAAAATCCAGATACACAAATCCACATGAAAATATTATTTTATAAATAATATCAGTTGACACGTGTTACTTTGCGCCAGATACTGTGGCAAAAATCTGACCTACCTTTTCTCATTAATTCTCAGAACACCCTCGAAAGTTGATGCTACGCAGTCACTAGACTATAAGCTCTATGAGAACAGGTACCATGGATTTTGTTTACTGATGTAAAATCAGCACTTTGTTCATACACTGCTTCTTGCGTGAGAGATGCATAGCAAGATACTTGCTGAATAAGTAATTTTCATTTGATAAATGAGGCAACTGAGGGTTAAAGAAGATAAGTAATTAGCCAAAGATACAGGATGCTAGAATCTATGTTCCAACATATATTTATTGGTCATTTTTTTAGAGAAGAGAATCAGGGAGGATTGGAGGAAGATCAACTCATTGCCATGTTTAATCTTCTTGTTCTTTCCACCTCTGCAAGAAGATAAAGTTGTTGAATAGCAACAAAAGAGCCAAATTCAGAAAGTTCAAGAAAAAAAAGAATAGGTGGGGTCCAATATGGCAAGATGTTAATATCCTTTTTCAGACAAGAGAGCTCTTCTAGCGTTTAGCCTAGAAAACAGAGATCTGAACTTTCTGTCTGCAAGGGAGGAAAATGTGATCTAATGAACAGTCAACTATGTGCAGTGCACTTTGTTAATTAAGCCCCTTCTGAAATGCAACTAATAACTGGAAGAACTGCGAGAAGTGAAAGCAGGTCTTCCAAGTTCAGTGCTGGCTGCCCTGTACACAGTAGACTTTCGTGTATGGACTGCAACACATGCTCATTACTTGGCAGGCACCGCTCATTTCTTACCATATCTAATACAGTGTCAGGGAAATAATATACCAGTGCTCCTGTTGATCTGGATCCCAAGGGCCATTATTCCATCTTGAGTCTTTTTTTTTTTTTTTTTAGTTTATTTTTGAGAGAGAGAGCACGAGTGCAGAGGAGGGGCAGAGACAGAGGGAGAGAATCCCAAGTAGGCTCCACGTTGTCAGTGCAGAGCTCGATGTGGGGCTTGAACTCAGAAACCAAAGGATCATGACCTGAGCTGAAATCAAGAGTCAGGCGCCCAACCGACTGAGCCACCCAGGCACCCCTCCATCTTGAGTCTTAATAAGATAGACTAGAACTAGAAGCTTTGTGTTCTACATTACTGCCTTTGGAACATTTTCACATACAAGATAGGAAATCCATGTCTACGTATATATAACAGAGGAACTTCAGAGACGTGATTCCATAAAGGTTAGAGGATCATAAATCAGGATTCTCATGGATCTAGAACAAGTGGGGTTTGGTTGAAGTACCACAGGGCACACTTAGAGTATGAATCTTGGAGTCCGGTGAGCCTGGGTTCTTACTGAAACCTAGTAACTTAGTTCTGTAATATTAGGCAAATTACTTACATAGTTTTCTTATCGACAGAATGGGGACAGTACCAGTACTTACCGGATAGGGCTGTTGGGAATACTGAATACAAATGTGAGAGCACCTACGTACCAGTGATAACTCAGTAAATTAGTTTCTACTTTCACTTTGATTACCACAACCATCAGTGTAGCCTCACTGCTGAAGTCTCTAAGCATCAGCCAAAGGAAATAAACGTGAAGTGATGAATTATATTGGTTGTTATGTACTGCCACCTTTGATTTTTTGCTTACTTAATGATTACGCAGGTCATTGCTACTACCCAGTGTGGGTCCCTTTCTTGATGCTGTATTACAAAAGAACAAGAAAAGTAATTCCAAAAGTGACTTCTTGGTGGAAACGGCTTTTAGAGGGGGAGAAACTTACTGAGGCTTAGGAAAGAGGCATGATGTTCATGGTCGCACAGTGAACTGTCTGACCAGTTTGGGCTGTAAATATCATGAAGCAAGTCAGATTATGGGTGCCTATGAATTCTATTTTGAGTCAAGGTCTGAAGAGGAAATCATAAAATGCAAAATCGGGAACCCTCATTTTCAGTGAGCAGCCTGATACTCGTTGCCTCTGTGATTCAGGTCCTTTAAATGTCCAAGTGTTGGAGCATCTTATCTCAGAGGCTGCGGAGTGCACGGGTTAACAGAGAGCTGAGAAGTCAAACTGCCTGATACTGAATCCCAGCAGCGTTTACTCTGTGACCCCACTAGTGAAAGAGGTTGCTTGTCTGACACCGAGTATACATAAGCTGCTGTTATTATTATATTTTTCATTTTGCAGTGCAACTATCTTTTTATGTCTGTTTTCTTCCTCTAGACTGTGAACTATCTGACTGAAGGGAATGGATGCATTCATCTTTCTTTCTGTGTCCGGTCCTAAGAGACACTCAAGCTATGTTTGCTGAATGAATCAAAGACTCTTAACAAGCAAATGAATATCAAAGTAAGATAAACTCAGAACAGAAACTCTGACTTTAAGGGTGCCTGGGTGGCTCAGGCGGTCAAGTGTCTGACTTGGACTGCAGTCATGATCTCCTGGTTCGCTGAGTTTGAGCCCCGCATCAGGCTCTGAACTGCCAGTGCAGAGTCTGCTTGGGATTCTCTCTCTCCTGCCTCTCTCTGCCCCTCCCTGACTTGTGTGTGCACGCTCTCTCTCTTGCTCTCTCTCTCTCTCAAAATAAATGAACTTAAAAAAAATAAAGAAAAAAACCCCCTGACTTTAAGTTGAGGAAAACAAGAATAACCTTTTCAGATTACTGATGAAATCATCTAGAGAGTAGTTGGCAAAGGATGAGCTGTCTCCTTAGCCCTTCTTACCTTTATCCTATTCCTAAATAAGGAATCTACATGGCCTTAGCCCACATCATCAACTTCACAGATATTAGCCAAGGCTTGAAAACCAGTTCACAAAGTTTTGTTGGTTCTAACACCTTCCCAAAAAACTAAATGACAACAACAAAAACAAATGCCATACTTCTAGTTTATTCTAAGGCTAAAGAGAATTCTGATAAATATGAATAATAGTAGATAAATATACAATTTAGTTTTGAACATTTTGGAATATATGTTAAAAACAAATCCTGTTCTTTCAATATGCTTCCATGAGATTTTAACTTAAGGGTCCCTAAATTATTTTCAAGACTAGTTTTTACTCAAGCAGCAAGCAACATTTGCAAGCGACAATACGATTTCTGTTCTTCCTCTGGAAAATGATTTTGAATAGTCAAAGAAAACATAATTTGTAACATTCTTCCCCATCGCCTCATTTTCCTGCAGAGTATCCTCTTCACCCCTTCACCTTAGTAAAAGAGAAATTAAAAATCTATGCCCCTCACCTCCAACAGTTCATCTCCGATACGCATTCGCCCGTCCGTGGCAGCAGGTCCTTCCGGGTTAATTCCCACCACAAATATGCTCATGCGTGACCTGTCTTTATTGCCAGCAAGGCTGAGTCCGAGTCCATTCTTATCCTTTTCAAGCTCAATAATGTGCAATTCTCCAGGCAGGTCTGCATATCTTTGCCTGATTTTTTCTATTAAAAAAAAAAAAGGGTAAAATAATTTAAATAGAGCACTCGAATCTATATTTTAAAGGCGTCGGCATGTTCCCATCCATACCGTGATTCCTCCACCATGATGGTCTCTTTCTGAGAACGAAGTAGTAGAGGTCATTAATATCTGTATGTATAGGTTCCAGTTAATTATTCCATCTCCATCTAAAAAGGTTAGTTCAGCCATAAAACCTTCTCTGATTGTTCAGGTCACATTGGCCCAGACTTTCCGTGCATTATTTTCTTCCCTAAGACAATGTGGTAGAAACCCTGGCTTCCCTGTCTCCTTCCAATAAAGAGAGAGGGTGGGCAGGAAACAAAGAACATATACTGATCACCAGCTATATGACAAGAGAGATATCATGCTGAACAAAACGGACAACATTCCTATTCTCATGGACTTGCTATCCAGTAGGAAAGAAAATCAACAATTCTCTTCTGAAAAATTTTTTTAAGTTTTTTTATCTTTGAGAGAGAGAGAGAGGGAGACAGAGAGTGAGTAGGGGAAGGGCAGAGAGAGGGAGACAAAGAAACTGAAGCAGGCCCCAGGCTCTGAGCTGTCAACACAGAGCCCCATGCAGGGCTCGAACCCATGAACTGTGAGATCATGACCTGAGCCGAAGTCGGACACTTAACTGACTGAGCCACCCAGGAGCCTCAACAATTAATTCTAAATAATTACAGTTAAGTATACAAAGGGTATAAATCCTTGCATGTTAAATGAGTAAAAACAAGGATGTTGATTTAGCGGTCGGATCTCAATTCTAAATTAATTCTAAATAATTACAGTTAAGTATACAAAGGGTATAAATCCTTGCATGTTAAATGAGTGAAAACAAGGATGTTGATTTAGCGGTCGGATCTCAATTCAGTACAAAAATCAACCACTTACTCAAGGTCCAATAATTAACAGATTATTCTGTGGAATTCTACTTCTTCATCTGTAAAATGGGCATGATAACACCCACTTCATGAATGTTGCGGAAATGAAATAAAAATACACATTAAAGGACTTAGTAGCACATGGCTTATAGATACTCTATAATTCTTTTATTCAATCTTCTGTCTTTCCTTGCTCTTTCTACTTTATGGTCTAAATTACCTATTTTAGGATTTGGCTGGTTAGGCTTTGTGTTGATTATGTGCAACAAAGCCACACTAGCAGATCTGGGTGGGGGTGATGTCACTTTGAGCATGTCTTGTACTCCATACAGCCCCAGCTCAGGGCAGATGTGTTGCTGCAGCTCAAAGGTTGATACCTACAGTGTGATACAATCATCTTATCAGCTGAATAACCAGTTTGTAGATTGTGACTATCTCAGAACTCTCTCTGCTCAGTCTAATGCTTCTTGACTCAGGTTTGCTATCCTTACAAGGAACCTTACAAATTCAAAGCTGAACTCGAATAATTAGTGCCAAGGGAGAGGAGAAGTGCCTAGCCCATTGGATCACTTTACCAGACCTAACAAACACTGCCTTATGAGAGTAAATTTAAAAATACTTTATATGTAAATTCACATTAAAAGAATTAACCATATAAATGGCTGCTTATTTTAGAAAAGAGAATAAATCTGCTTGCTTTACAGTGATTTTGAAAAGAATCTTGGGGCACTTGGGCAGCTCAGTTGGTTAAGCGTCCGACTTCGGCTCAGGTCATGATCTCATGGTTCATGAGTTGAGCCCCTGCACGGGGCTCTCTGCTGTTAGTACGGAGCCCCACTTCGGATCCTCAGTACACAGCTCTCTGCCCCTCTCCCACACATTCTCTCTCCCTTTCTCTCCCTCTCTCCTCTCTTTCTCTCAAATGAAAACACTTTAAGAAAAGAATCTTAACTTTTACAAATAAAGCTTATTATTAATAATAAAGAACGCATTTAGCAAAATACAGTAAAATACAAATCTTGCAATGTAACAAAACCACCCTCTATATAGGAAAAAAATATAAAGTCATATTAAGGTTAAAGTAAGTAAGCTCAAAGTGTTTCTGTTGCTCAACTACCAGGAACAAGATGCTAGGTGACTATTTTAATGAATAGAGATGTGGACACGCATTACCCTCAAGATGCTTACACAGCAAAACGAGGGAAACAAATACAACAAATATTAAACCCCCCAAAAATATTTATTTATTTATTCATTCATTCATTTATTTACTTATATTGTAGAAAAAGAGCATGAGTGGGGGAGATGGGCAGAGGGAGAGACTCTTAAGCAGGCTCCATGCTCAGTGTGGAGCCCAACACAGGGCTCGATACCAAGACTATGGGATCATGACCAGAGTTGAATGCTCAAATGACTCAGACACCAGGTGTCCCAACAACTACAATTATTTAAATAGAAGTTCCAATCACCACAGGTGCTGGTCCTGAATACTGATTTATTAGTGAATTAGGTCAGTGAATAAATACTCAATTGTTATGAGCAATAGTTGCTTTTAGAGTTTTAAGAACTGACGTGTCTAGAAGACATTTCACGGAAGTAGCAGAATTTGAGAAGCATTTTGAGTAAGGCACAAAATTTGGTTATGAGAAGAGCCTTGTAGGGGGAATAGCAAATTTAGAAGCATACCTGCAGGTGGAGTGAGGAGGAGCATGTGAGAGCCCATTTGGCTGAGACCTGAAAATTCTATGGGTTAGTGGGTGAGTGATAAGAAACCAGAGTACAAAGTTTACAGAAATTCCAGCTGGGGATTCTACAGAGGTGTCCTGAGGTTCCCTGAGGATGGGCCTTGAGACGACACTCGATGTAAGACCTCTTCTCTCAGATTCAACGGGACCACTGAACACTTTGATCTGCTTTGTTTGTTGGAGTTACAGGGTTAAGAAAGTTAAATGCCACTACAGCTAAGAAAACCAAATAGAACATAAATTTTAACACATCCCTTTCAGAAAATAATAAAGCAGAAAGAGATGATTTAAAAAAGATACTGAAGACTTTAACAACACCATAAGCTCAAAGTAATGGATATAAGAGAGCTCTCCATCTGACAGAAAATACACACATCTGGGGAGGCACACACAGAATAGTTACACAAACAGTGTGCTGGGCCATAAAAGAAACTTCAAAAAGAATCAATATCATATAGGCTGTGTCTTTGAACACAATGCAATAAAACTATGAAAAACTATAAGTTAAAAAAAATTATTTTATTTATTTTAGAGAGAGAGCACAAGTCAGGGAGAGGGAGGGGGGGTATGGTGGGGGCGTGGGAGAGGGGGAGGGAGGGGGAGAGAGGGAGAGGGAGAATCTTAAGCAGTCTCCACACTTAGAGCAAAGCCCAACACAGGGCTCAACCCCATGACCCTGGGATCACGACCCGAACCAAAATTAAGAGTCAGATGCACGACCAAGTGAGCCACCCCAGCGTCTTGAAAAACTGTAAATCAACAATAAAAAATAAACTTTAAAACTCCATGGTATTTAGAAATACATTAATGTTTGTTAAAAGCCCAAGATTTAAAAGGGAAATAATTACAGAAATGAGGGAATACAGTACTCAAAAATGAATACAAATTATAATTCTAGGTATCAAACTTGAGGGACACAGCTCAAGCAGCACTTAGAAGGTTATTTACAATTTTGAATAATTTTTCAGAAAATAAGAACAGTATACCCAAGAGGTTAGAAAAAGAGCTACCTATCAAATGCAAAGAAATAAGAGAAAATAATAAAGGGCATGTGTTAATGAAAATAGAACGAGCACGACCAATCAAAAACAATCCACAGAACAAAAACACTATAATAAAGATCAGTGAAACCCAGTTCTTTGAAAACATTAAGAAGACAGACACTGTAAAAACTGATCAGGAAAAAAACTGAAGACAGACAGAAATTCTTGCAGTAGAAAGGGTTGAAATCACTACAGATAGATTAATAAAATTATTATGGGGGTGCCAGGGTGGCTCAGTAGGTTGAGCATCCGACTTCAGCTCAGGTCATGATCTCATGGTTTGTGAGTTTGAGCCCCGCATTGGGCTCTGTGCTGACAGCTCAGAGCCTGGAGCCTGCTTCGGATTCTGTGGCTCCCTCTCTCTCTCTGCCCCTCCTTTGCTTGTACTCTTTCTCCCCAAAATAAATAAAAACATTAAAAAAAAAAAAGATTATGAATAGTGTATTGATATGAAACGCTGGCACACTTTAAAATCTAGAAGACAGATACAACTCTCAAAATTTGAAATGCCATATTTAGTATAAGAATAAATGTAAAACTGCCATAGACTAGTAATTATTAAAAAAACTGAAATGTTAGTCAAGAGTATTCTCTTTGAAAAAGTAACAAAATCCCCCATGGTTCTAGGTATTTTTACATTTGAATTCTACCAGATTTCAAGTTTTAATGAATTTTATCTATGTAAATTGTTCCAGAACATAGGATGGGCAGGGAGTTATCCACTTCATATTTTGAGGCAGGTATAATCCTGATTCTCATCCCAAAAATAGAGACAAATCGAGAAAAGGAAAGTACAGTCTTATTTAACTTAATGTCATAAGATGTTAAATATTAAAAAAAAATAATTTGAGGGGCTCCTGGGTGGCTCAGTCAGTTGAGCGTCTGATTTCGACTCAGGTCATGATCTCATAGTTTGTGAGTGAGCCCTGTGTCGGGTTCTGTGCTGACAGCTCACGGCCTGGAGCCTGCTTTGGGTTCTGTGTCTCCCTCTCTCTCTGCCCCTTCTCCCCGGCTCACATTCTGTTTGTCTCTCTCTCAAAAATAAACAAACATTAAAAAATAATAATAATAAGTTGAGAGTATATTGAAAATATTTAGTTTAACCTCTATGATATAGCCAGTATTTGACTATTTTCTGACCTAAGAAAAAGCAATTTCATATGATTCAACCTAACACTATATTATGAATAAGGGCGCATTCCAGGAATGTAAGAATAGGTAAATATCAGGAATTTTTTCAAGGAAATTATCACACTGATAAATTAAAGCAGAAAAGCTGAGAAACTATGTTACTAGATGGCAAAAAGCATTT